TAATCGTGCTGAATACAGTATTCTTGGTTCAAAGCCCTTCTGTTTCATTGCATTAAATGTATCATGCCATTCTCTTCTGGCCTGTAAGGTTTCTGTTGAGAAGTCTGATGATAGTTTGATGGGTTTTCCTTCATAGGTGACCTTTTTCTTCTCTCTAGCTGCCTTTAAAACTCTGTCCTTGTCCTTGATCTTTGCCATTTTAATTATCATGTGTCTTTGTGTTGTCCTCCTTGGGTCCTTTCTGTTGGGAGTTCTGTGTACTTCCATGGCCTGATCGATTATTTGATTATTTCTTACCCCATTTTGGGGAAGTTTTCAGCAATTATTTCTTCAAAGACAATTTCTATCCCTTTTTCTCTCTCTCTTCTTCTTTTGGTACCCCTATAATGTGAACATTGTTCCTTTTGGATTGGTCACACAGTTCTCTTAATATTGTTTCATTCCTGGAAATCCTTTTATCTCTCTCTGTGTCAGCTTCTATGCATTCCTGTTCTCTGGTTTCTATTACATCAATGGCCTATTGAATCTTATCCATTATGCTTATAAATGCTTCCAAAGATTGTTTCACTTCTGTAATCTCCCTCCAGACATCATCCCTTAGCTCTTGTATATTTCTCTGCAGCTCTCTCAGCATGTTTATGATTTTTATTTTTAATTCTTTTTCAGGAAGACTAGTTAGGTCTATCTCCTTCTCAGGTGTTGGTTCTGTGATCTTTGTCTGCCTCAAATTCTGCCTTTTCATGGCGATAGAGATAGTTTGCAGAGCTGGCACAAGTGACGGCTGGGAGAACGTCCCTTCTCGTTGGTTTGTGGCCTTCGTCTCCTGGGAGAACCGAGACCTCTAGTGGCTTGTGCTGGGCAGCTGTGCGCAGACAGGGCTTCTGATTCTTGCCTGGCCCCTATGGAGTTTATCTCTGCTGTTGCGGTGGGCGTGGCCTGCCTCGGGCTGCTGCTCCATTATGTCATGCCAGAGGGGAAATGGCCAGGAGGCTGTTTATCTCCATGAGGGGCCTCTGAGCTGCCCTGCTATCCAGGGGGTTAGGGTGCCCAGAGTTCCCCAGGATTCCCTGCTGCTGGGCTAAGTGCTCCAGGATGCTTTCGTCCAGTTGTGGAGTCCCTGTCCCTTTAACACGTCCAAAAAGCACTCGCTTTTCTTAGTCCCAGGGGCGCCAGCTGTGGGGACCTGCTCACAGGTCTTACTGTCCTGTTTCCCTAGTTTCCAGCACCCCACACATGCACTGTGTCTGTGCTCTGGTGCAGATGGCTAGGGCTGGCTATTTAGCAGTCCTGGGCTCCCTCTCCCTCCCCGCTCCGACTCCTTTCCTCCTGCCAGGAGCTGGGTTGAGGGGCGCTCGGGTCTCGCTGGTATGCGGCTTGTATCTTACCCCCTTGGTGAGGTGCTGGGTTCTTCCAGGTGTGAATATAGTCTGGCTGTTGTCCTGTGTCTTCTGGTCTCTCCTTTAGGAAGAGTTGTCTTTGCTGTAATTTAAAAAATATATGTGGTTTTGGGAGGAGATTTCTGCTGCTCTACTCACGCGACCATCTTGGCTCCACCTACCCACATTTTCTCTTTTACAGAACTATAATTGACCTTGACCATTACATATAAATCCCTCATTAAACTTAAGACAGGAAAGTATTTCTAACAAATGAATGCTCTTTTTCTTAAACAATGCAAAATGCATAATTCAAAATATATTTTCCCATGTTACCAGCAAATTTAAAGCTGCTCAAACCTCCTCTCTCCTAACTAGGCATCCAGGTCTCCAGGTAATAGCTATTTCCCTTTCAGCTGGCTTTTCTTCTTCACATAAACCACTTGCTTGCCCTACTGCGTGCCGTATTTGGTGTTGCTGATCTGTTCAATTGCATTTTGGAGTTGCTTGGGATCCACATCAATTGTATAAGTGGCACATGGGTTACCAGCTGGAGGGGGTCCCATATCCACTGCAACACCCAAGAGTGGATCATTTCAGAAATACCCTCAGCTTTCCTTCCAGCAAAAGGAAGGTCAAGTCAGAATAGCAGAGAAAAGTGGAAAGGAAGGCAAATTATTGTACTCATAGATATGCTATTTGGAGCACCTTCCATTTTATTCCTTTCTGCAGCTTTCCATCCTCTGTGGCAGTATTTCTCAAAACAAGGTCTCCAGATGTTTTTTTTCAAATGCAGATTCTTTCATCCCATCCCAGAACCACTGAATCAGTGTGTCAAAGGGCCAGGCCCACTAATCTGCATTTTTGCCAGTTCTCCAGTTGATAAGAAGGCCCCTCTCTGGATTAAAGTCAGATCTCTTCATGTTCGATTCTCCCCAGACCCAGGCATAACCTGCTGCCAGGCCACCATTCAGACATCACCTCCTGACCCTATGCAATCCCCTGAGGTTCTCTGGACCTTTCCTTCTTCATCAAGCAACAAAACCCCCTACACTCTCTGCTGCAAGTTCCTCCCTAACCTGACCTGTCTGGGACACTACAACTAATCCTGTAAGGAATACAGACATCCCTTCACCTGGCAAAGCCTCCCCTGGTTTTGCCCAAGCCACATTGCTTAGCCATAATCAGGACCTCCTCCTCTAATTGCACAGCTTCCTGCTCAATCTGCCCCCAAACACTCAGCTAATGCACTACTTCATGATTCTGGGTTTGCAGACCTTCCCTACTAAACTAGAAATTCCTTAAAGACCTGTCTTGTTACTTATTTTTCCCTTTGAAGATAGTATGAGCCAAAAAAAAATGTTGAATGAATAAATAAACAAATAACAAAAAATGTATTCTCTCTGTGTTGGATGGCTGACAGCCTCTAACACTTCTAAGTCAAATTACAAGTTGAATGCTGTCTCTTGGGTTCCCTTCTCCTATACAGGCACGAGCAGAACAATAACTTAGGAAACTAGTGCATCAGATTCTTTGCTTGGCATTTATGCCCTCTCCTTGAAACAACAGTCCTCTAATTTATGAACTGCCACTCTGAACTAACTCCTATTTCAGCTCAAATGGCTCAATGGTTATTTGAATAGCTCTATAAGGGTTCAAGCCTTTTTAAAAAATGATGCGGTATCTCATAAAACTATGACTGATATGGTTATAAATTTCAGGAATGAGACCGAGGCTCTTTGTGTCACCACATTTGGGTTCAGGGAACATTCCAGCCATGGCATCTCATTCCATGAAGAGGGTGGAGGCCCCCCACTCTATGCTAATTATCAGCCACATTAGAATCTCCCCCTCTGATGATAAAAGCTTTGGCTGTCTTTGAATAAGGCACTTCAAAGTCTCCCTTTTGTAAGATTTTTGAAATCTCAGCCCGTTGACAGTCAGAGCTTGACTTACTTGTACATTTGTCATACTTTCTGGGAGGCTGCCTCCAATCCTGGAGCCGGGGTAAGCTGAAAGCTCTTTAACTGATAGCACTTTCTTGAAGAGAAAAAAAAGAAAGACAGCACAATGTCTTAAAATAAGGGAAAAAAATCACTCAATTTGGTTGAGGAATTTAAAATGTGAAGGTATTTCCATGATAGCAGAAACGAAGGATTTTGTCCATCTGGGAGGTTTCTCTGGGCAATGCAGTACCAGGCCCCTAACAGAAAATGGGTTGGCAGATGTACAGTACTGTTCTGGCAGGAAACAAAGGGATGTTTGAGAATAATTTAATTAAAATTTACAACTACCAAGATATAAACCAAGATTAGGAAACCAAGTTGGGCTGGTGTAGTTTCCTGTGACTGCGCACCTGAAGGTCATTAGCATCTCAGACCTAAGGGTAAGGGAAGAGAGTGGTTACTAAAAGCCAAAAGGGGGTTAGATGGAGCTGATCACCTAAGGGGAGCTGTGACCTTCCATTAAGGGACATAATCTTCGCACAGCCACTCACAAGGAGGGAGTAGGGAGATAAACGCTCCAGGCTCCCTCTCTCTCCATCCTCCTAGTCTTGCCCATGTTTCATCATCAACTGAACTCTCAGCCAGAAGGCAAGAGAATCCACTGGTGTTTTGCATGTGATCAGTCTCACGGGCCGCGATGCCGGATAGAGGAGGCAGAATGGCCTCATGGCACCTAGAGATTTACACTGCACATTGAAGTGAACATGAACAGTGGAATTTCTTTTGCTTCTGCTGAAGGAAGGAGCATCAGCTTTATTGGGTACGTGTATAGTATAATAAATATTTACTGACCACAAGGACTCCAGTGACTTTACCTTCTCTGTTTTAGATCCTATTGACATTTTGAGAACCTGGACTAATGACATTATGCAGATGAAGTGAATGCATTTTTTTAAAAAGGACATGCTGAAAGGTAGCAATATTAGAAACTTAACTTGACAATTATCTGAGAATGGACAGTATCAATCTACATGGCAATTACACAATTTTAGAATGTATGCAAAAACAATGGCCCTTCTACCTCATATACGTGTAGGTAAATTACAGTGGGCACTGTTGATCTTAGGACCAACTCTAGCCATAAAATGAAATAAATGACCACCTACATGTTGTAACTCAATCAAGAAGTGAGAATCTTCAGAATCTCCAATCTTCCTCAAAGCCATTCACCCTTGCCTGGAATTCTGCTATCATACAGCATCTTTGTATTTCAGAAGCCCTGGATTTGCTGGTATCTCCTCTTACAGTTCACGTTCTCCTAAAACAGTATCAGATTAATTACTGACATGCTGAGTCAATTAGTCATTGTAGGAATTATATTTTTAGTTCCATTTAACACAACAACTATCTATGGTTTTCAAAGAGAGGAAGGTGAACTTACTGCACAGGCCACTCTCTGAAGACAGCAGGCTGAGATGAGACGTCATCAGATAGTGAGACAGTCTCTGGGTAGAGAGGGGACACCAGATGGTAGTTAGAAATCAGAGTCAGGAATCTAATGGGAAGGAAGAATATCAAAGAGATTCAATAGACGGTACTTGTTACATGTTTTGTACAACATGCTAACCTGTTTACATACATTGTCTCATGTAATCTTTATATCAACTTTGTGAAGTAGGCCCTATTAGCTTCTATTTTTCCAGATAAAAGAAAAATGAGTTTTAAGTCCCATCTACCTACAAGGACATTGAGAAGAATAGAGCCATATACCTGGGAGCCCAATATGTCTACTGTAGTGTTTAACAGCAAATGTATATGGACTGTCTATGACAATACAGCCCTCGGTAATACAAAGACTATTATTTGTGATATCTCTGGTTTTGATTTGAAGGAACCCTTCTTTCAGGTTCCAGACAAAACTAGGTAGGAAAATAGAGCAGGTGTGGATAAGAGAGGCATGAACACTCCCTAGTCTTATCTCCATCCCAGCTACACAACAGGGATTCTTGAGAACTGACTCTTATAGACAAAACAGCAGAAAGAAGATGCATCATTTCACTTTCTGGTTGCCATCAGAAATCTGTGGGACTTCTTTTGGCTGAGAAGGACTTTATCTTCAAGGGGTTTGGCTTTGATCCAATTGTGTAGGAAAAGAAAAACTCCAAAAGTTTCAATTCACAAATCAGACACATTGAAGTCTGAAACATACTAATTAGTTCTTAGTATTCTTAGTCAATACACCATACAGCTACCCTCAAATTATGGCTAAATTGTATAAAAAGAAACATGGTTGGAACTGAGGGTGGAAATTGAGAATTCAGAAAATTAAACTCATTACTCCATATACTTCTGTTATGACTCAATTCTTTTTCATTGCCCCTTTTTGAACCTTTTCTGTGTCTGTGGTACTTCTGAGCTGAGTAATGGAATTTAATATTAGTTTCCTTTTTTCCAATTGCAGGTGTTATTTGATCTTGCACAAGAAAAGTAGGACCTTTAACAATCTACACAAAGAGGCTTAGACAATATTCAAGGAGAGGTCCCTGCCTAGCATGATGGGGTAAAGTTGTTCCAAGAAAAATGGTGAAGAGCCTTGCAATTTTGATGGTGGGGTGACCTGTACCAGGAGAAATGGACAAAGAGGCAAAGTGGGAATGGACAGAGCACTGATCTAGGAGTCTGGAGACTGGTCCAAGTCCCAGCTGCTCTGACAAATAATGTGCAATCTTGGGCCAGTCACTTCATGTGGTAGACACTGTGATGTGCTACCCAGATGCCCCCTGCAGGACTGGAGGTCTCATTTCTGCTGGGAGTCATCCCAGCAGGGAGCCTCAGCTCTCAACTCTCTCAAGGGCTGCCTCAGTGGAAGAGTAGAGCTTCCCCCAGGGAAGTCCACACCCAGTGATTCATTTACTGCAGCCTTTGTCTTGGTGTACATGATGCCAAAGGAGTTCACAAAAGATGTCTGTTAAAATAGCAGTTGCCCACGGGTACAACAAACAAACAATGGTGTGGGTGATCCCATGAATATTTTCCTGAATGCTCAGAGTTTAGGATATTTTTTTAAGTTTTTCAGATGTATTTGGACTATGCCAAGGAAATATAAGCACAACATTTGTGTGTTAATGTAATACCAGAAGTACTGTTTGCTCTCATAAAATATGGAGTTACTACCATAAATGTACAGTGTTCATTGTGTTCAGCTAAAAGGGGCACAGAGTGAACCAAAATGGTCTTAAATATCAGATTTTTATCTTTTTTGCTGCAATCATTAGCAATATAATCTTAATAATAAGCATTACCTCTTACAGGTGTATAGTACATGCTCACTGAATTTTCACTATCTCATTTAATCCTACCATCTGTTTTATAGAGAAGGCTAAGCAGCTATTAGTATAGATAGCCTAGGGGAGTTATCCAAGACTTCATATTAGTGTTCTGATTTTTAGTCTTTCCCCAAATTTACTGTTAGGTAAATTAAAAGCAATCCCATATAAGTGAGCCCTAACTGCAACGAACTCCATGTTAACCCCCTAAATTAAATTTCCATATAGCAGCTGGAGTGATCATTTCAAAAGGTATATCAGATCTTGTCATCCCCCTGTTCTCCACACTGCAGTGGCTGAACATCACACTGAAATAAAAGTCCTAAATCCTGTTTCTGGCCTCTTGTCTTACAGAATCCCCTGCTCACTTCCCTGACTTCACTGTGTTCCCCCCATCTCCTCATTGCTCACTCACCTCCAGCGTCATGGCTCTTTATCCAGTAAACATGCTCCTTTGAATGCTTTTGTATCTGTTTTTCTTTGTCTCTGGAACTCCCTTTCCCAGGAAAGATTTTCTTTACTATGCTAGCTGAAAAAGTATCCTATGACTTCCTTTTCTGGCTTATGTATTCAAAGCTCTTAACATACACTCAAAATTGTATTATATGTGCATTTGCTTATTTTCATTTGTTTATTCATTCTCTCTCCCCTAGAATATGAACTACACAAAGGCAGAAACATCCTCTGCCTTGGTCACAGCCAGATCCCCAGTGCCTAGCACAGCACCAGACTCAATCTGCGTGCATAAATATTTTCTAAAATTTGAGTTAATGAGTCTTACTGAAAATGTCAGTTAAGTAGTTGAGATTATAAAGAGAAGACTATAATTTTTTCTGCATTCAGCATTTCCCTTCTCATTAACTGGAGAAGTCTGTGAATCTAAGGCTCTGATAAGAAGCAGGGCCATCCTGGCTTCACCTTACAAGTATGGGCACTTGGAGTTATTTCACTTTTCTTTCATTCCAAGACTATATTTCCTCATCTGTAAGATGAGCATAGTTTTAGCTGTTGTGGTAATTAATAAGTTATGTGTAAAAAGCAAGCCCAGCATCTGGCACTATGGTAAGTGATAAATGTTTGTCAATAGAATTATGATACATATAAAGAATTGCAAACATAGACTGTTATTTAATTCTCATTCACCATCCAGGTACTCATGAACCAGGCACTGCAGAAGCACAGGAGGACACAATTCACTCCATGTTTTAGGAAGGCCTGGGACTGGTAGGGGGGCAAGAAAAGGTAAGTAATTGCTTTTCTACCCTGATTTCCAGAAACTTCCACTGTGTGCACATGTATAAAGCATTCAATGGATACATTGCAAGAGTAAATTATTAATTCATGTATTCGTTACTACCTTGAATGGTTTCTTTTCTCATTTAGTCCTCAACTAACATGGAAGAGACAACCATAGAGAAACAGATAAAGATGCTGACCTTCAAGAAATGTACAGTATAAAGGGAGAACAAAGACATCAGGCCACTCAAATACTGACTGACTAAGGATCTGGTTTGTGGGGCCTGCACTGTGTGATTCAGATGTTGGAGTTTTAAAATCTCATACTTTCAATAAGATTTTACCTAAAAATACTGATTGTAAATTTCTCTTGAAAGATCTGAGGTTCTAGCAACACTGCATTTCTGCACCTGTATTTTCTTCTGACAAACTGAATCTGAGTAGTGGTTGCCCCCTTAAGGTAACTCTCAAGATTTAAAAAATCTCTACAGTTTGTCTATATCCTTATATTTTTTCTATCCTGTTTAATAGACAAATGTTAAAATCTCCTACAGTGATTGTAATTTTTCATTTTCTCCATATAACCATGTCCATGTTTGTTTTATATGTTTAAGGCTGTGTGTTTAGGTTCTTATACATGACTGTAGTACATTCTTGGTGGAGTACTCTTTTTATTATGATTTAGTATCTCTTTTTGTTCCTAGCCATTGCTTTGCTATAAAATCTCTTCTTCTCTGAGTTAATATTTCTACTCTGGTGTTCTTTAGCAGTTTTTCACTGTATTCTTTTCCATGTTCCCATTTTCCTTATCTTCCACCTCCATTCCAGCCTTTACTTCTCCCTGACTAGCAGTTTTGAAACTCTCTTCCCCTGCTCCCAAAGAATCATATCTTACAACAGCATCTTGGGCTCCCCTCCGAGAGGTTACCTGGAATTCTGAAGACAATTACACCACCAGCAGGCAGCACGGCCAGGCCCTAAGGAAAAGGCTGGGAATAATTCCTATAGCCTCCAAGTTACTTGTCTATTACTGTGGCAGGCTATGGTGTTCTCCATTTAAAAATTTTCTCTTAAAAAGTTTTTTACTTGTCATTAGTATGCACAAAATTTGTGGCTGGCTGTGGCTATTTTCTCTCAAGGCATGAATCTACAAAACCGAGATAAGACAACCAAGACCCATAAAGATTGTAAGAGCTAAATACAGACAGTTCCCAATTCTGTGAGGGGCAAATGAGTTCTTAAGACCCTTCCTCAGCGAAACCAATGAGGCTGGTTGCCTAGCTTGCAGATTCTATGAGCAGCCCCAGCTCCTTCTTCCATCCTTCACAGCTGCACAGCAGGCAATGGAATAATGTACCATTCTCAGAATCATCATAACATTTAAGGATAAATGTCTTTGAATAATTTGTACTATCAGTCTAGGGGCTAAGTGAGTACATTTGATGATTATATCCCTAGCCTCAGTGGTGTATCTAGGACACTTTATCAACACCATTAATATGTTATCTTGCTAATTAATAATGCAATGATGTTTAAGAGCGAGAAAGAGACAGAAAGAGAAAGCAGAGACCAAGGTAAAAGAAGAGCTGTGGACAGGAAAAAATAATTTGCCATGCAGGTGAAAAATGTGCACATAGTTTGAGAACCTAAATTTTAATAGCACAATGCTTCTAAGCACTGAAAATCAGCCTGTCCTCCTATACATTCAAATTTCCCCAATCTTAACTAGTTCAATTTATTGTTCACTAATTAGATAGAATTGTTGTCCAGAATAAAGAAATCACCACCCAGTAATTACTTCCGTGTAAAATGTAATCAGCCTCTACACACTGACACATACTGTAAAAACCACAGCACAATAAATAGAACACTGTTTTCCAACAATAACCTGGCAGTGAATTCTGCTAGTGTATTTCTTCGTGAAACATGTTTATGTGATAGTC